AAATTGAAAGTAAACAACAAAAACAAGAAATGAATTTTGGAGGTAAAAGGAAAGTAAACTGGGAAATAGGTCAGGATGTTATGGTCAGGGATTTTATAAATTCGAAATGGGTAAAAGCAGTCATATCTAAGCAAATTACAAATGATATTTATTTAGTTAAAACTAAAGATAACTTAACTTGGAAAAGACACACCAATCAGATGATAGATTATGAACCTAATAGTGATATGGAAATTGTTAAAAATTCAGTTATTGAAAAGGAGCATTCCATTGTTAATACAGATAATATTGTACATTGTAATGAAGCTACTACACAAAGAGACAAACCGATTGTAGAGAACAAAACCGATTCAACGGATCCTACAATTGTAAGTAAGGATATTGAACCGAGTTTGACATCTCAAAGTACAGTTAAGAATAATAATGTAGAACCAATTACCGAAATTACTTTAAGACGATCCGAAAGGATTAGGAAACCGAAAATCATTTATGATGTTTAGTTATATAGTTATATTTGTTATTGTATTTGTAACTTAAGAGGGGGGTATATGTAATGTTTAAGTTGGTATCAACTATTATATTTTAGTTATGTATGCGATAGAGTAAGGTTGGTAATAGAACTAAGAATGATGTATGTAGAAGCTGTCATGGTTTTCTTCGAATAAATAGTATAAGTACAAGGTACTAATAATTATTTAACGTACAAGTAAACAGTACACTCGTGGCACAAGGATTTTCGCAGAAATTTGGTAGTGAATGCGACCAAATGTTTGCGCCAGTCGTTCGACACTCTACATTTCGAATTTTGCTTACAATAGCGGCACAGCGGAAGATGACGGTGATTCATTTGGATGCAAAAACGGCATTCTTGAATGGAAAAATAGACAAGATAGTTTATATGAAACAGCCCCCTGGTTTCATAATGTACGGAAAGGAGAATTGTGTTTGTCTCTTGAGGAGGAGTATTTATGGTTTGAAGCAATCCGCAAGATTGTGGAATCAAGCAATTCATCAGGTGTTGATTGATGCAGGATACAAACAAAGTACAAATGACTCATGTTTGTACTCATTTTGCGTAGGTAAGAAGCACTGTTATGTTCTGATCTACGTGGATGACCTCGTCGTTGCCAGCGAATGTAAGGAAATGCTTCAGCGTTTCGAACGAATTCTTCGTTCGAAATTTGTGATCAAGAATCTTGGTGAAATCCGCAATTATCTCGGAATGAGAGTGATAAAAGATTCGACAGGAAATTTCGCAATTGATCAGTCGGGATATATATCAAAGATGGCAAATGATTTTGGTCTGGCAGAAGCAAAGACGTCAAATGTTCCCATTGACATATCGTACGGAAAAGGGTCGAATGAAGATTTATTGCCGAACAATGAACAGTACAGGCGACTGATCGGATGCTTGCTGTATGTATCAGTTAATACCCGTCCAGATATTTCGGCAAGCGTTTCAATACTTGCGCAGAAAATCGAAAGTCCAAATACGGAGGATTGGAATGAAGTGAAGCGAGTAGTGAAATATTTGAACGGCTCACAGAATTTATCATTGCGACTCGGATTCGGTAACGACACATCAGTATTAACGGGATATGCAGACGCAAATTGGGCCGAAAATCGAACGGATAGAAAGTCAAACAGCGGATACGTGTTTCGTCTTTTCGATGGAACAGTCAGCTGGAGTTGCAAGAGACAAACATGTGTGGCATTGTCGTCAACAGAAGCTGAATATATTGCATTGGCTGATGCATGTAAGGAATTGGCTTGGTTGCGGAGACTCTTGGTTGACTTTGGACTGAATATCGACGGACCCACAATCATATACGAGGACAATCAGAGTTGTTTGGAACTGATTAAGGAGGAGACATTGTCTAACAGATCAAAGCACATTGACGTTAAATACTTCTTCGTCAAGGACTACATCGACAAAGGAATAGTTAATTGCGTCTATTGCCCAACTGAACACATGATTGCGGATCTTCTCACGAAGCCATTGAATGCAGAAAGAACTCGGCAATTGTGCGGCGTGGTGAATGTTTGAATGAGGAGGAGTGTTGAATATGAAAGCATTCAAACATTTAAACAGTTTACCATGGCGAATGTTTAGTTTTGTTTGTGCGTTACTATAGTTTAAAATTATTGACTGATAATTAATTTAGAATCAATCACAGAATACGGCCTTCTCAGAATAGAAACAGCAATGTTACAAATTTGTATGGTATTTTGGCGGAGCCTGGTGGGTGTACTGTGAACTAAAGCATCGAAATCAGAGTAGCGCCATCTGGTGACCAGCTTCTAAAGTCATGAAGTAATTTCCCAAATTCGATATAAATCATAAATATTGATAAAGAATACACAGTTGTTACATTAAAGTGTATTTAGATACAATCACATTACATTATTTAACACAGAGAACTTAAATTACATGTTTACAAATTACATATAAAACTCAGAAGTGAGTGGAACTTACGGTTTGTAGATGTTAACACTTTGAAGAAAGATCCTTACATAACAATTTGTCGTACGAAATATTTGGTTTTAATTGCTGTTTGGACTACATATTTTTGTTAAAAAATATCTTTAGAACTAAATTTTTTGTTCCAAGAGGTAATAAAACCGTTTCAGCAAATTGTCACACAAGTTTTTGACAACAAATGTTAACTTGATTCTGGTGCTTACTTGTTACTTGAGAAGCGAGGGTGGAAGTTGTTGAATTATCTAAAACGTATTTTGTATTCATTGTCTAAAAGGAATTACAATATAAGTATCTACGTCTATAATATAAAACTCAATATAAAACTCAAGTCTACACCCTTTTGCGCCTATACCGTTGGTAATTTATAAATTCCATACCTTGCATAAATAGGAGAGAAAGAACAGCACATTTCAATCCTCTTCGCGTTTCAAGCACAAAACAATCTGTTTCAAAATATGAGAAACGATGCCTTTTTGATATTTTATCGTTACAATCCGCCACACAACACTATTTACGGTCACATAACTTGTTCATATTTTAAATCTTTCAAAAGTCAAAATTGACATGTGTAAAACTATGTGTACGTATAAAATCGACGGTAAAAATATTTCCTGTAAAGAGCAAAATTACAGGTTTTGCAAAAAAATATTTGAGTCTGCGATAAATAGTTCTCCGTACAACCACGGGAAACGCTGTAATCAGTGGCAATTTAGCGCCATTTATGTTTCTGTTCTGTAAAGGTCTTATTCTGTGGAATCAATCAATTTTCAATGTGTTAATAAAGTCTCTTAAAATAAAGTTTAATACCTATTTAAAGCAAATCACTGAGTATCAATAAAAATATGCCTGATATTTGCAGGATGAACTTTTTGTACTAACGCAATTTGTTAATAAATTTCTTTGCATTTTTAAATTGCAGCGTTCACTGTTGTGGTTGTATTTCTTTTATTTTCCGCATGACGTTCATGAAATTTTGATTTGACTATATTAATAACTACATAATTTTTTTTCAATAGCTTATTAAATTCGTAATACCGAAACTTAAGATTACGAAAACGTACAAATATATAAAAAAAAACGTCTAAAACGTTAATTAAATTTTGCATTTTTATGTACTTAACGAAGAATGAAGCCGCCTTCTGAAGAATTTTATTCGAGTTTACAAGATAAAGTCTTAATAGAATTTAAAAAAAAGGTAGTGAAAGGTTTTATAATTTTTTCAGTTCGTTTAGGTACCGAAATGAAATTACTTTCTCTAAGGATGTAACTTGGAGATAACGGCGAATTAAAGAAATTTATTCCTTAGAATGTTTCATTCACCGCATTGGCTTTAGCGTTTGGGTGATTTAGTGTGCAGTACACATAAACTCTCTAGTCTTCTGCAATTGAAATAACAGTCGAAAATTTGTAAAGAAAGTAACTTATGCTCATAATACTTTACAATTCATAGTGAACAGTTAGATGGATTTTTTTACATTACAACTTATTTATTTATTATATCCTTGATAAACTCTAAAGCCGGCTACAGACTGCATTAATTCGCGATTGCGCGACCCACGATTCGCAGGTATATAGTTTACGAATAGTGTGTGAGCTTGTTCGTTAGAAATCAATTCGTAAACTTAGCACTGAACAAATTTATGAAAGATATTTATACACTACATGGAGTAACAGATACAATGGTACAATTTTTTAGGAACACCTCTAAAAAGAGCATTATACGGGTAACTCAGTAATTGGGCGAAAGCCTGTTGAGGGGTTCAGAACAAGAGAGAGACAATAAATAAATAAAAAATAAATAATTACACGATATTTTTACATCACTATTAGTATTTGTCTTGCCACTGAACCTTTCCTTGCAGTGGCGAAAATGAAATTTGTTGATGGGTCTCATTCCACCAAGAACAATTGGCAATTTTACCGTGTTCCCTATCAAATGTACCAGGAGGTGTGTACACGTACAGGATGACCAATTAAGAATGCGAGGTACTGTATCTGACAATCTATCCATCGTAGAGGCTTGCGGTAAAAAAATTTATTACTAAAACGGCCACGAGCAAAACCTGGAAAATATTTTTAAGTTTCTGAAATGACCGCTAGGGGGCGTAACTGCAATCTGGAATTTAAAAAAGTGATGTTTCTGTGAATTCCGCTATATTAACCTAACAAAAAGTCTTTGAAGTTGACGATAATCTGAACAATTTTTGTTTGACAATTTTTCCTGTATCTGTAAAAATGAAGTGGTGGGGGGTATTCAAAGGTTTCCGTAAACGGAGCGATAGCAACTACTGTGCAAGACAATGCAAAAGCTCTAGATACGTTGCGGTAAACTTAATGTAAAAGAAAAATTCCGTCTGAATCTAAATTATTCTCCCGAAAAGCTTAAAATTACGGGAATTACAGAACGTACTGCCGTACTGGGTAATTACTGGACCTAAAACTTAATAAGATTGATTCTCTCTTTTCTTCCCTGGCACGAGAGCTTTAGGGCGGCTATAAAAATAATTTAAATATTCCTATGGGAACGGAACTGAATAATTTCGAAGACTCCAATGCCAAGAAAAAGTCAGTAGTCCCCTAAGCCGTCAAAACTGAAAACTTCTGAGCGTCCTTGAGTCACTAATTTTTTCCTTGTCGCAGGTTTTTATGAAGTGATGAAATGTAATTATGAAATTATCAAAACCCATTAACACAGCTGTCCAGTGTCCATGTTGTACAAAAATAATGCAAAATGTGTAATAAATGTTACGCCTACAAATTTTATGAACTTGAAATGTCTTATCAATTTAAATAAAAGCAATAATTTCACATAGTTAATGTGACCCACATTTAATAAAACAAAACGAACCATTTATAGTGTGATCAGCCTCTTTCACAAACCGTTGAAAAAACAGGTCTGAACCTTTTTATTTGAGTTATTTTACTATTGTTATTAAACAATTTTGAAAAGCTTTTCAAATCGCTATTCATTAAGTTGCCATTTGAGCATTTTAATGCCTTATGATTTATGGAGAACAATGAAGCACTTTGCGGGTTGCCTAATCATGTCATTGACTTCCATTTTAGCATAGTGGGTCCGTTGTAGTATGTTTACAGTTTTAATAGTGACAGTCGCCATAGGGATAATTTTAAGAGAAATATCCACAGCTACAAATTTAACACTAGATACCATTACAATGGAACAACATAAAGAGTGCACTTAATATAAACAATAAATAGGAATATTTGTTACAGTACCGAGCAATTGCAAGGCGGAACATCGGCAGCCGGATCAGCGCGAACCTCTGCCTCGTGCAGCTTAGCATCTTCGAGGGAGTCATCCACAAGCGCACCCGGACCGGTTCCGTACAAAGTATTGATGCTCGGCGATCCCGCTGTCGGAAAATCATCTCTGGTTTCTCAGTTTATGACCTCGGAGTACCTGCACGCGTACGATACGAGCATAGGTATGTGTTCAGTAATAAAATGCTAAAGAGGTTGCAAACAAAGAAAAGCATTACATTGCAAAGTAATTTTTAATTAGATTTCAAAATATATTACGGCCGAAGCGGTTAGACAAAGTTCACTTGGGCTACTGCTGTATTAGGTAAATCAAAGTTAAATTGAAGTGCGATTTTTAAAGTTTGCGTTTAATGGAGATTTTAAAAGTTTGAGGGATAAATCCACTTAAATATAATTCCCAAGGAACTTGGTTTTGAGAAATTTCCTATTACGTATAATTCCCTAACGACTAGGGATGTTAACATTATTTATTCGTACTTTCAAATTCAAATAACATATCAACATTGTGCTCTCTGTTTCGGTTATAGTGATATGGAGACTTTTAATTTAATTGTATTAAAGACTCAATACAGTAATACTATGCGATCAAAAATGAGTTGCTGTCGAGTCACCTTTGGAATTTTTGTTTACATGGGAAATCGTACTATAAACACCAAAAATTATGACGGGACATCCTGTATACGAGATGTTTTAATGTATTAAGTAAATCTGGGGGATTATTTACAAAATAAACACAGTTTGTTTTAATAGAATTTGTGTTTCAGTGTTTGTTTTTTTCTTTTGGAATACTTTGTAATTATATCGCCTTTGTAAACTATTCAATTTCAATACGACACTAAATAAGACACATTTGGTCGTGTGCTGCAAAAACATTATGGGAATGTTTTATCCGTCCGTACACCGATTTTAAGAGGGATCTACCGATAGATGACGAAAGAGTAGAATATCCCCTAAATGTTAAGCATACAAATAAGTCTTTCACGAATGGGTAGAAAGTTTTTGAATATTGAAGGTAATTTTAGCTTTGGTATTAAAGGATTTACACGCAAATCGATAATAGAATAACCGATAAATCGAAATTCAAAGTTTAACGAAAAATGATTTTTATTTGTTGCAAGAGCGACAATCTTTATCTTAATACCTTAACAATGATACGCTGAAGGCAAGTGCACACTTTGAGATCGAAGTGATTAGATTTGTATGCTTTTTTTGAAAATTTGAGCATGCAAATTATAGAAACTACAAAGTATCATTTTAGTATTGCCACTATTACAGAGATGTCGCTTTAAACAAACAAGAAATCCCTTATCTGAGCTCCGAAGCTAATTTATTTATCTAGATCTTTGCAATTGTTCGACTATCCGCCTTTTTTTGTAAAACACTCTTAGTAACTACGGTTATTAATATGTTTGACCTATAGGTCAAATGTCACGGGTAAAATAAATGGAAGAGGGTGAGGTGGTGGAGTGAACACTTTAAATACGAATACCTTGAAAATTAAGCAGCTGTGAAAGTATTCGCAAAGGAGAGGTTGATCTGGGTCATGTGCCTTAGTTACTGTGCTCAAAACTTCTAGTGCGACTCGAGAAGTTTAGAAAGGAGTACCAGAAAAAGATACTTACAAAGGAAAAATCGTTGATCTGGACAACACACATCCGTCGATAGATTTAAAACTTGAAATCCTGATAGGTACCTCGAAAACGGAGTATCAGAAAAGGGTACTTACAAAGGAAAGTTGTTGATCGGTATCAGGCGCATAATTATTTTTGATAAGAGTTAAAACTTCAAATGAGAACCGAGTGTCGAAGGAGGATACTCACAAAGAGAAAATGGAACATCTGACAAAGAGATATCTCTCGTAAAGTGCCACTTCGATTGCATTTTCCAGATCAATCCACCATTACCTACGTTATTCTTTTGTCGTTCCGAAGATTAATTCATGTTAGTTTGATTACGTTCTATCCTTCAGATTAGTTCTGTTTTTGTATTTATTTACCGGTGCTTTGTAAATCAGTTTTTCAAGTTACCCACGACCTATTCCGACGAATTTGTTCGTGCCAGTTTACTTACATTTTGAATTAAGTGAATTACATTTGTTGTATATAAATTTACTTATTTGTGCATTGTAAACTAGTTTTCTTGAAGTTAATGTTACGTTTATGCTTTTATATATTGACGATTTGTACGGACGATTCATTGTCGACAAAAATTTTACTTTTGTTTAGTTAATGTAAATTGAATTATTGGTTCTTATTGAATGGCAATTACGTTAACATCGCTATCGCAATATTTATGTATCGCGCTATTCATTATCCCTCTGGTTTTTTTGTTTGTGTTTTATGTGTTACAGATAAGGCAGAAAAGCGCCCTTTCTGAGCTCGAAAAGGTTGCGACGTGTCGTTCAAAGTGTAGTGTCTGATTACATACTGGTTTTCGGTACAATCGAATAATTGCTACATTTATTTGAATAATCATTTTACAATTGTTGTTTTCTGCGGAAGCTTGTTTTGATATTAATAATTTCCAGATACGTTCACGTTTCTGATCTAGATACTACAGTGTCCAATTTGTAATATTTTGAGATTATTTATTAAATTACCCTCGATTGTGACGATTATTGAGTTATGTGGACGTTATGGGTTTCGCGTAAATCACGTCAAGTTTGTTATTTCTTATGGACGCAATATTGGATTTTTACGTAAGTCTATAGTGAAACAAATTACAAAACCAGTGATACTAATCATGTGGATATATATATATATATATATATATATAAAATATATGTATATATATATATATATATATAAATTGAATTTTCGCTTTGAAGTTTACAATGTATTTCTTATGGCAATGATGGTGACTATGCGAGGCAATAAACAAAAAATATTAAATAATTTCAAGCAAGCTAAAGAATTATTGACCATAACTTCGCTATTTGGTAGAGCTACAAGAAACAGAAAAGTGGAAAATTAATCAGCTTAAAATTCTACATAACTTTGCCCATTTTAAACGACTTTGTATCACTTATGGTTTACGAAATCCTTACAGGGAACATGAAAAAAACTCACCCTGTATGTATACCCTAGTGTACACCTGTCGATAATAACTCAAGAGTAATGATTTTAATTATTACTACTGCGACCGGTAATTTTTTATTCCCGCCAAAACGCATTCGAATAGAAACATCTAATCTACATAAAACCCTATCCGTCATATTTCGAATGTTTACCTGCGAACTTTTTCATATGCTGTGAAAATCCGATTCGAAATTTGCATTTCCAAATGCATTATTTTCATCGCAAAGTTTGCATAACGTTAAATGCAATTCGAACAGACTGTATAAATTGAGTTCGATGAAATTATACAGTGCATTTATCTTAAACTGGAACATACGATTTTACGTGCAATGTTATTTCCAATATGTTCCATTAAAAAAAAACGCGTCAAACTAATAGGAATAGTTCAAATGGGTACTAGGTGCAATATACAACTGGCACCTTCAAATCTACCGCCCGTTTTATCCTCATCCTCATGCATTTCTGGATAAGTTGTAATATGGAATGAGGATAAGTAAACTAGATCATATAAAAGCATATTTAATTTATATTCGTCACTACGGACAACGATGTGTAAATCCTAACTATTCACATACAAACAGTTTCCATCGTACACTCTGTTTATAACACTGTCAACAAATTCGTTAAGACATATAATCGACAGTCCGTCTTGAATTTTTCGATTCAAACCCACACGTCTCGTTTTGAAGTCTCCGAATTATGGTTTGATTTATATCGTCGACACTATGTCGTATTGCCTCCATTAGTTCCTCTAAGCAATCGATGAATCGTATAAAAGTCTCATAATAGATACACTCTTTGATCACCACTCGTTTTCAAAATCCTCGCACAACAACACATATCACATTAAGCATATTTGCAGAATTTTGCTTCCTGTATTGTTTAACGGTATCATCGACAGACAACGCTCTTCCTCCTGCAGCCGATCGGCATATTCTTGTGTCGTTATACCATAATAATGTAGGTATTGGAAAAGTTTGAAAATCTTGATATTCGTCATATGTCGCATGATAGCTCGGCGACACTGCATTGGCGTCTGATCTACCATCATGCACAGTTAAACGAAACCAATTGATATCTATCACTCTACGGAATTTTATGTACGACGGAAAATTCACTGTTTACGTCACATAATCGCTATGACAAATTTTACTGGTCTGAAAATGCCCTCAGCAGAACTGAAGGGCTGAGATATTAGTGCCATTATGACACACCGGAGAAAAATAAGTATATAATATAATATAAATAATTTTAAATATACCAACACAGGCACGACCAGTTAATGACCTATTAGTACCGGTTCAACAACATCTATCACATCAATACCCTGTATATAACTATCATTCCACCCTGCATAATGTAAAATGACACAGTCAATCGCAATAAGACATTCTCCACACAAATTCAAATTTACCGCAACAAAAGGCAACCATCTTGAAATTAAAAAATTCAAATTTCTCGCACAAATTCAAACTTAAATTTAAATAATGGCCGACATCCGAAAATTCAAATCGACCACACAAATTCAAATTTACAACAAAATGGCAGACATCTGCGTATTCAAACTTACCTCTACAAAATGGCCGTGATCTGGAAATTAAAAAATTCTAACTTGGTGGTGGTGAGGATGGCTGTGCCTTTATTACTAACATTATTTTTTTTCGTTTGTTCTGTTTCATTTCGGTAGTATTGGGAAGAGGTAGGGTTTAATTTTCGATTTAAAGTGCTTGTAATTGCCTTTAAATTTAGTCACGTGTGTTTATGAGGCCAGGAAATTTAGAGTCTTGTGTAATTTGGGTAATCCGACTTTGTTATTTAGAAATTGTTTGTGAAAATAAATGCAATTAAATTTTGTTTTTAAATTTAGGATCTGTGGAGTTCTTAATCCATTTTCAGTGACGAATAGTGGAGTGACAGTTTCATTTATTTTTGACGTGTTATTCGCGAAGGCCTGCATGACATTGCAGGATTTGGTGTTTTTATGAGTTATTTACGAATAGAGGCGAACCGGCACTGGACATGACAATTTATTTTTAGTGCGCATTTATTAGAAGTAAAATAATTGTGGAAGAGTTTATTACACCTGA